AATAGGATTAAATAACCGTCCATTGTTATACACAAATACTACATTTCCTCTCCATACAAAACAATTATTTTACAATTCATCTTCCATTAAGAACACTAATTGCATCAAAATAACATACATATACATCTTTTAATATATATCCTACTCGTCAAACATACAATTCATGCTATTCCTTTTGAGAAACATATATTATCATATGGTAGAAAATATCGATAGTTGTTAGAACATTACTTACATCTACAGCTATCACATGTGTCTGTCAGTCATTCAGTGTGGTACAGGATAATTTCAGGGAATGTAATCTTCATATGCAAAAGAGGGGGGTGGGGGGGCATGACAAGGTACATGTGTACACCTCGTGAATGTTTGAACGGCCGTGTATATACCAAAGATAGTAAGGCCTTTATCCTCAATATAATGGAGGTCCCGTGAGATCTTATGTATGTACATTTTTCATCCTTACTTCATCGCACATATAGTGATTACTCATGTACGTTGCATAAATTCAAACAATTTAAAACTCAGGAACATAATACACCGTAATGCACCTTTTCTCTGCTTTCTAAAAAGAAATCTCTCTCATTCTCTCTCTCTCTCTCTCTCTCTCTCTCTCTCTCTCTCTCTCTCTCTCTCTCTCTCTCTCTCTCTCTCTCTCTCTCTTTATCTCTCGCGCGCGCGCTCGCGTGTGCGTGTGCGTTAATGTGTGTGTATGTGTGTGTAGCTGTACCTTTTCAAATATGTGTTTGTATGAGTATGTGAATACCATCTATCTACCTACACACACACACACATACAAAACTAAAAACACTCCTATATCTCATACCATAAAGAATATAACCAGACGTAAAAAAGGTACGAACGAAAATGAAACATCTTCACAGTGAATATTTCATTCCCAACATTTCTACATTTATCGCGATGAATACGGTCCATCCATAACCAGACCTATAAGTTATCCCATCAATAATAAAGGAACATTCAATCACGTATCAGTGAAGTGTGTCGCGTATCCAACACCCCGGGATTCTCTTATACAGAGGTGATTTTTCACCGAGATAATATATAGGTCCGAACGGGAATGTATTGTATTAACAGGGCCATTGACATTTTATACCTCGCCGTTATTCCATTTACTATGTGTATCAGAGAGAGAGAGAGAGAGAGAGAGAGAGAGAGAGAGAGAGAGAGAGAGAGAGAGGGAGAGAGAGAGAGAGAGAGAGAGAGAGCGAGAGAGAGAGAGAGAGAGAGAGAGAGAGAGAGAGAGAGAGAGATGGAGAGAGATGGAGAGAGAGGGAGAGAGACAGGGAGAGACAGGGAGAGACAGGGAGGGAGGGAGAGAGAGAGAGAGAGAGAGAGAGAGAGAGAGAGAGAGAGAGAGAGAGAGAGAGAGAGAGAGAGAGAGAGAGAGAGAGAGAGAGAGAGAGAAAGTGAGAGAGAGAAAATAGAAAGAGAAAGAAATACAGAAAGAGAACAAGGAAGAAGCACTGCTCACCCCTAGCCCCTCGCACAAAGAGGTACTTCTCCCTCCCAAGGCACTGCTAGTAGCGTGTCTCGACCGTACCATAGGTATGCGGGCCTTGTGGGGGCTGCCTAAGTCATGAGGTCCCGTGGGATCTTATTATCGCTTTTGCTGTGAGCAATTAGTCACAAAAAGGGCATCTCGTTGTGTTCACGTCCGTGCAGAACTACATGCCTTTTAAACATTTATTCCCGGTCACGTATGGGCTATGAATCATAGCCCATAGTAAAAATGAGAAAGAAGAGAATGAAGAGAATGAAGAGAAAAATAAAGAGAAAGAGAGTGAGGAAGAGAGAGAGAGTGAGTGAGTGAGTGAGAGTGAGAGAGAGAGAGAGAGAGAGAGAGAGAGAGAGAGAGAGAGAGAGAGAGAGAGAGAGAGAGAGAGAGAGAGAGAGAGAGAGAGAGAGAGAGAGAGAGAGAAATTAAAATAGAGAAAGAGAAAGAGAGAGTGAGAGAGACATACATCCAGACAGAGAACGACAAAGGACTAACTGGCAATACACAAAACGAATCAAGAGTGCCTGATGCCACGCGTGGGAAGAAACCCTGAGGACGACAATGGGCGGCGCGTATCAAGTGCCAGGAGTGGGCGGCATGCGGGTGCGCCCATACATAAGAAGATGACAAATCGACCAGCGCCCCAACCCCCTCCTCCCTCATTGAGCAAAGCCATTCTTCTAATATACATTGTAAATATTGGCTACTATTCAAGGTCCCGATGTTGAAATAAGTTGCTGGGACGATAATGACTTTGTGCTTGCCTGGTCGGTGGTAAATATTGGTTGGGAATTATACCCGTGATAAATAATGGTATTTGTTGCGAGGCTTTAAATCCCATTTATAATTTTCACTTTTATAATTATTGTCATAAATTGTCGATAATGAAACTGACACAGTGACAATAAAACATGATGAAGACAGTGATAAAACGGTTGATCATATTGTAATGGAGATACTAATAATAGTAATAATAATTCCTGTGGCTGTACTAGAAATCACTCACACAAACGAAAGGGACAAAAACACAATTAGAGATGAAATTAAATCGTGACCTATCGAACTCGTCAAGAATACCTAACCAAATAAAAGAAATGGTTATTTATCCGTCTGATGCAGGTGTGTACAGGGGCGCAGGAGGCATTTTGGAAGTGGGGGGTGGTGGGTGGGGGGGGGGTTGGGGGGGCAAATGTGCTCTTAGCCGCCCTCCGCCATAAAAGCACATCAGATTTTTTTTTTTTTTTTTTTTTTTTTTTTTTTTATTAAAGTCACTTTTACTTATTTTCATCGGGCAACTTTTGCATGTTTCGAAACTAAAAATAAAGTGATCGTGGTACAATGCCACTTAGCTAGTTAGGCTAATGTAACGCTAGCTCAGACACGGATGTTATTCGCAGTAACACAGACCTATTGTCGAGGCATGGAAAAACGTATGTTGGCAACATCATGCAATATAGATATATATATTTTAGTACTTCGACCAATATCTTTTTTTTTTATCTTTTTTATACACGTGTCTATGTGACCCACAATCAGAGAAGCACATAAACAATCAAAGATACAGGGAAAGTTTCTAGCTATATGAAATTAAATGTTTTAGGAACGAATATTAGTATTTTGAGTTATTTATATCCTTCATTAAACTGACTCAGCTTTGCGAAAGAGGGTGACGACAGGTTAACAGCAATCAATTGCATGCACACTACAAATTACCCTGCGCATACGAGATTGTTTACAAAGATTAGTTACAATCGAAGAAAACCGCGCATGTGTGTGAACGGACTTCCAAGCAGCTACAGCTTGCGAATATATTCCATATTTCGTGACGATCATTTCAAATATGATATCTGCTATGCAATTGCTCATACATAAGTATATATACATTTCGCTGGAGTTCTCTTCCTGGTAGAGTGGTAGGCGGGTAGAGTGGGATTTGTATCACCCCCCCACCCCCCCTCCTTCTATGCCTCTCGTGCAAGCATAGTGCAGCAGCTTCCGTGCAGGAGAGATCCTTGAGTTGCTTCTAGGGTCGTGTGTAAGCGAAAGAACTTTATTATTGTTTGTTAACATGCTTGACGCCCGTTTATCGTAAGTGAAAAATATTATGATTTCGTTTCACCTTGAATATGATTATTATTTTCATACAATTTACCGTATTCAAGGAGAGAATTGTTGTTTATGAAAGACTTTTTAATTAATATTTTTTGGACAAAACACCTCTCATCAGATGGAGAATATCATTCCTTACATATTTCGAAATCCTAATACCGGAAAAAATATAAAAGCTACCCTTAGCCCAACCCACCGCCCAAAAAAGTGCGTACGTGTGTGCATGCGTGCGTGCGTGTGTGTGTGAGAGAGAGAGATTGTTCTTCTGTTTTTTTTTTTGAAGTACAGAGTGCACATTTCCATGATCCAATACACATTCCTCCATGCCCATTCATACTTCAATACCGTTTCCCACACGTGCCTCTTTCAATATCCTCTCACAAAGAAAGAAAAAGAGAGAGGCTGTTGACGTCAATCAATATATTTCATACCTGTTTTCTTTCCCACTTGTAATCCTCATATATATACACAAAAAAAAAAACACAATTCATAAAATACACTTCCCATTCCAAGAAGTGCAAAGTGATTTTACCTCAGCGCTTGCTAAAAATATCCGTGGGACAAAACCTCCAATAGCAATATTGCGAATGTAAAAATAAACGACTAAATCAAGCAGGAAGAGTTCCGATCCCTTGTATGAAAGTAACAAAAACTAAAATTAGAGTGCGATCGTCTATATCATTCCACATGAACATTCTTTCTACTCGCTTATTTAATTATTTACGCCTTCCTCCCGCCTCTCTGACGTAGACACGAAACCGTTGTGACGTCACGACCAGTTGAAGCGCTTCTTCAAATCCCTTTATTTTTCTCTCTCTTTTTTTTTTTTTTCTTTGCTTTACTCTACATAAATCTTTATTCAGTACTATTAACCGGGTTTATAATGCCTACAAATCGCTTATTTGGTATGTATTATGGTTCTTTTTTCAACTTTCTTTTTTTTAATCTTTTTTTAATCTTCGATAAACTAGTTAATCAATGTTCGACATTTTATTACTTAACGACCATCTTTATAGGTATTAGTGGTCGGAATAGGACTCTGACGATCAATTTTCGGACGTTCGCGAAAAGAAGAATTGCAGTCGTCAGGAGGAAGCTCGAATTATATAATGTTGTTAATCTTGTGGCGAAAAATGGCTGTGTTACGATAACTTAGAAATTATGTCTCTGTTGTTCATTGGTTTGCCGTAATAACATCTTAGCGCAGAGAAACCAAAAAAAGCACACACACGCACACACGCATGCGCGCGTACACAACCAGATACACGCACAGACATATAAAAGAGAGAGAGAGAGAGAGAGAGAGAGAGAGAGAGAGAGAGAGAGAGAGAGAGAGAGAGAGGAGAGGAGAGAGGGGAGAGGGAGAGAGAGAGAGGGAGAGAGAGCGAGGAGAGGAGAGAGAGGGAAAGGGAGAGAGAGAGAGAGAGAGAGAGAGAGAGAGAGAGAGAGAGAGAGAGAGAGAGAGAGGGGGGGGGAGAGGAGAGAGAGGAGAGAGGAGAGAGAGAGAGAGAGAGAGAGAGAGAGAGAGAGAGAGAGAGAGAGAGAGAGAGAGAGAGAGAGAATGTACATACACATACACGTACTCCCAATCAGTCCCAAACAATACCATCTATGAGCAATATCTCAAATACCAAAGGAATGAATGTGTACGCCCCGTTTTTTTCCACGCCCGTGTTGACATCGCATCCAATATTGACGTGATCGCCAGACGAAGTTGACGTCAACTCTGTTATTCCTCGCCGTAAGTGGTCATTCTCGGGCGCCATTGAAAACCAATATGAAATTTACGACGTCGATGGCACTGCCGCCCCGACGTCACTCTCGGCTCTCTCGCTCAGCACCCGACGCCATGCAGGCTAAGAAGACTGGGTTATTGGCCTGATATGTGGGATATAAGCCTCTGCTGTCTCGAACAAACAAATAAACAAATAAGGTATACAATAGGAAAGAAAGAGAGAAGTGGGGATAAAAATGCCACTTGAATAAGTAAGGCTCCAGGATCAACAATGTATTTCCCTGCAATATTCTGAAAAAAATGCATAGTTATCTCTATTTTTTCAGTAAAAAAATAATGGAAGTGATAAATTTGCATGTTTGCTTTACCGCGCATTTCCCATAAATCCAAACATGAATGGCAAAATAACTAACCAAAAAAGAGATACAAAAATATGATAACAACGATAACAAACTGAACACGGACAGCGCCGGATCCAGTGAGAGGGAAGAACACACTTCCGGTTAGCGTTAAGGCGGGAGACAGATTCCCAGGAGTTAAGTGGACACGAGTCGCCTTGTTATTCTCACGGCTCGCGGCGGACGCTTCCTTGTGACGGCCGATTCGGGAGTAACGCTTCACGAAGGAGTTTAATAGGATTACGGACGTCGATTCTTATTATTATCTTTGTGTGTGTGATGTGACCAGAAAGATGCGATTGGTGGTTGGGGGATACAGAAGTGCACACACACACACACACACACACACACACACACACACACACACACACACACACACACACACACACACTCACACGCACACACACGCACACACACACACACAAGCACACACACACACAATCATCCCCCCCCAAACCCCACACCCGCACGCGCAGTCGTAACCCAATAGCTCATTTACAATTCAAAAGTCATCATCGTGCAGTACATTCACTCCTGATAATTACCGAGCATCGTTGGCAGTTTGTATAAATAAACATTTTCGAGTCAGTTCAAAACCCAAGTAGCAGCTGTCGCGTTCATTTTTTTTTGAAGTCCCAAAGCACATGTTCGCCTTCATCATTTTGGAAGGATGATTTTTTTTTTCCTTTTTTTTTTAAGAATAACATTAACACGTGAGAGCTTCAGATAACTAGAAATTCCGTGTCTGGGCGAATAATTCGTGCTGGGAGAGTTTCTGCTTTTGAAATTCGCCCCAAAACGTGTTTTCCTTATCCAGAGCAACATGAACGGATGGAATAATTAATTGAACATGAATACAGAAACACAATTAGGATTTTATTTTTACTTTTTTTTTTTTTAACACTACCATCCTACTTCCTTCTCCCTTCATTTCCCCTCGCCCCTCATCTGTTTTTATCTCATAACAAGAGATAAAAAAAAAAATCAATGTTTAAGTTAACCACGCTTCTCCAACCTCTTTTAATTTAGGTTCCTTTGATAATTACCCTCTCCTTCTCCTTCCTTCCTCTTTCTCTTGCTCCTTTCACTCTCTTTCAATTTCTCTGGTGTGGTTCCCTCTCTCTCTCTCTCTCTCTCTCTCTCTCTCTCTCTCTCTCTCCCTCTCTCTCTCTCTCTCTCTCTCTCGCTTTCTTTTTTACCCCCCCTCTCTCTCTCTCCCGCTTTCCCTCTTCTCTCTCTCTCTCTCTCGCTTTCTTTCTCCCCCCCCCTCTCTTTCTCGCTTTCTCTCTCTCTCTCTCTCTCTCTCTCTCTCTCTCTCTCTCTCTCTCTCTCTCTCTCTCTCTCTCTCTCTCTCTCTCTCTCTCGCTTTCTCTCTCTCTCTCTCATACACACACACCTTTTTGCTCACTCATTCTTCCCTTCCCTCTCTCCCTCCCTCTCCTTCTCTCTTCTCCATCTCTCTTAATCCTTCTCCTCTTTTCCTATCCCTCCTTCTCCCCTCTCCCTATCCCTCCTCTTTCTCTCTGCCTCTTTCTCCTTCCCACATTCTATCTTCCGCTGCCCTACCAGCCTCCACTTCCGGGTGACGAAACAAGAGATGTTGCTCGCTATCTACAAGAACCCCCTCCCCCCTTCCCTCCCCCGTTGCATTGATCTCTCGGCCTTGCATTTGCTCCTTGCACGAACGCTGCTGAGAATGCAACATACTCGCACATGGAGAGGAGCATTTGATGTTGGCGATGTCTGATGCTAGCATGAATTCTAAGGGAAGGGGATGTGGATTTTAATGTATTTTGATGTTGGTGTTAATGTTAATGTTGGTGCTGGTGTTAATGTTAATCTTAATGTTGGTGTTGTCTAGACGTTGGTATTTTATGAGGTTGATGATGTTCTTGCAACTGATACTGATGTTGATGTGTATGAAGGCGAATATGTAAAAAAAAACATAAAAAGTTACAATATTGAGACAGAAACAAAAATGACAGACAACAGCAAGGGGGAAACGAAAGAATGGTGAAGGGGAATGCTTTGAGAGAACAACAACAACAATGACAATAATAATAACAAAAAAAGTGCATTATAAGTTTCTGCACTGTTTTTCTATCATACGGAAGAGAGTTTTACCATTCATTATAAGTAATATGAAGGACACACATTTGATTAAACACCACTTTCAGGTAGACCTCCCAGGGTGCAAATATTATTTGAAGTTACCATAACATTTGCATACGCATGACAGTTTGCAAAATTCGCTGAAAAAGCAGTGGGGTTGGTAATTCTATCAGACATAACATACTGATTAACATTAACGTTCTTAGTATTCAGTCATAAAAGAATTGTTCCTCGTTTTTATATTTGTCTGGATAAAAATAGTAAGTATAATAATAATGTTGATTATCATGGTGACATAAAAAATGAAGGCTAGAATATATCTTGTTACCGAACACGTCAGACGACGAACCTGAAATTTTGTCTGGAAATCTAGACGCTTTTAAAGCTCATTTGTGTGCGTTTCAGAAGAGAAACATTTATCATACGAAAACGAACGCACATACACTCACATACAAACACAAAAACAAACACACACTCACTCAAACAAGCACACATAAACACACACACACACACACACACACACACACACACACACACACACACACACACACACACACACACAAACACACACACTATGGAAACCACGATACCATAATGGTTACCGCACAGGGTCCATCGCACTCGTGAGAAAGGAGCAAAGAGCCTGGGAGACGAGGACTCTCTCTGTAAGATGCGCTCGTCTTAGGGGGGCTGGGTGGCGAAAATCCGTGTGAAGCCTGATCGATTGTTCGGAAATACGTTCGCTTATCGTTTATCCGTATGACTTATAATCTATCTATTATTAATATTGGTAAATAAACCCACAGCGGTTTCGGAATTATCCCGGAGGATTTCGAAATCATAGCCTCACTTTTCAGTAAATATAGTTTGTGAAATGTCGGTAGTTCCCTCATTCATCACTTTCACCGCTGTTACCGTACTAACCGTCATCGTCACCAGTACTAGTATCTTAACGACTGATTTACACTTCCTTTTCACTAAATCTTATATCTGTCTCTTTATCTTTCATTTCGTGGGAGAGAGAGTGCGAGCGAGAAGCGCACGTACGTGGGATTAGACAAACTTCCTGAAACAGTTTTTTTTAATACTTTTTTTCTGTGTGAAAGGAGCGGTGTCTTTAATGAGGCGGATAACAGCTTAATGGCCCTCTTTCAAATCCTGTGAGAAAGTGATTTTAGCTGATCCTTGAGGCCCGAGGTTGGTTACTCACCTCATAACTTAGGGATTACTCGAGAAAAGGACCATAAACACCAGAGATATTAAAGAAAGTGGGTCCGCTTTTCTAATATGACATCATCTTGAAATATTGACCATAACACCATCTGGCGGTGAATCACGGGGAAACATCCTTCAATAAACCCTTTTAGTCAACACGACCGTCTTTTTTTATTTCCTTTTTAATGTGAGTCTTCCGATATTCCAATACGACACGAGAGGTTCTACTTGTGAAACGTTTTACTTAAGAAATATCGTGTTTTATCGAGACTTCCCTTTAGCGAAACTGCGTGGGGATTCGCAGACAACGATATCCTCATGTACAGTACATGTACTACACAAGAAGAAGCAAATCGAGCTAAAAAATGAGAGCAGAAAGGAAGAGGAAGGAGGGAGAGGAGGAGGGGGGAAGGGCAGGAGAAAGACAAGGAAAGAGAGAGGAAGAGAGAAGGACAGAGAGAGAGAGAGAGAGAGAGAGAGAGAGAGAGAGAGAGAGAGAGAGAGAGAGAGAGAGAGAGAGAGAGAGAGAGAGAGAGAGAGAGAAAGGGATGGAGAGAGAGAGAGAGAGAGAGAGAGAGAGAGAGAGAGAGAGAGAGAGAGAGAGAGAGAGAGAGAGGAGAAGGACCGTGAGAGAAAGAGGGAGAGAGGAGAAGGATAGAGAGAGAAAGAGGGAGAGAGGAGGACAGAGAGAGAAAGAGGGAGAGAGGAAGGGAGGGAGGGCGCGCGCGTGAGAGAGAGAGAGAGAGAGAGAGAGAGAGAGAGAGAGAGAGAGAGAGAGAAAGTGTTTATGCGTAAAGATAAATGAAAACCAGTTGGCAAAGTGACATAAAGATTTTCCAGCAATATAAACACAGAGATTTAATCAAGCAGAAGTAATGATCAGACACAACGACTGAAATGTTCTCTAAAAGACAT